GTACAAATGGCCAGGAAATACATGAAGAAATCTTCAACATCACTGAGCATTAGAGAAATGTAAATTAAAACAATACTGATATTCCATTTTATCCCATAAAGAATGGCTATCGCCAAGACTTCCTATGTCTATATATACAGATTTACATGCACATACATTATGGTTAGCTCCTGTTCATTCACATTCCTAGAACACACACAGAGCTTCTGTTAAGACCTTGTTCTATTAGTCATCTCCTTTATGAATTACATCTTTAAACTTTGGAAGTATCTCCTTCCTTCTTCCCATCATAGCCAATACTTCTCATCTTTAAAAAAAAAATGGTCAATTCTAGTCTATTTGTTTTGTTAGCATTTTTTCTCCTCTTCAAAGCAAAATGTTTTGAGTTAGTTATGTTTGCTATCTGCTTTCTTATGTGTTGCTGCCCTTTGCCCTAAATTGGACCATTAAATTCACTAGTGATTCTGTATAACAAATTCTGTTATGGCTTATGTCTAGATGTCCTCCAAAACCTCATGGGGTCATAGGTAGGGCTTTTTGGAGGTGGCTGGATCTGGAGTGTGTGAGGCTGGGATCAAGGATATAAGGATATATGATTACTAAATTAGTCCACTGATGGGTGTGGCATAGTTCTAGGTAGGATTAAGGGTGCCCCATCCTGGGTGTGAGTGCTATCCGCCTTAAGGGTGGGTAGGCTGAATAAGATATAAGGGAGAGAGAGACCTTGCTTGTTGCTTGTTGCTTGTTTCTTGTTGCTTGCTGCTTGCTCCCTGCGCTGTGATGCCCCTTTGCCATGCTACCCTACCTTGCACCCAGCCAACTATGAACTGAAATCCCTACAAACTGTGAGCTAAATAAGCCTTTCCATCTTTAAATTTGGGTGTCAGGTATTTTGTCTCAGCAAAGAGAAAAGTAACTAAGGCAAAATTCCAATGACTTATTTTCCAGACTCGTGTCATTAGACCGGATTCTCTTTTGAAAACCCATCCTCTTGTTCTTTCTTCCACACCTAAGTTGTCTTTTTCAATCTTTATTTTACGCTCGATTTTTTGACTCTTTATTTTTAAAATCATTTGTGCTTTCTTTGGCCCACATCACATTCTCTGGGTGACACAGCTTAATTCAATGATGGTATCTCCAAAATCCACCCCTAGGTAAGAGATATCATCTGAGCTCAGACACACATATCCAAATATTTCCAGTTGCATGCAACACAGACATCTCAAACTCAGCATGCTTGACACTGAATTCAGTATTTTTCTGAACAAATCTGATCTTCCTTTCCATGATTTAGACCTCCACAAATGGCACCTCGGGCCTTTGAGCTGTTAGGAATTTATGAGGTAGAAAATTCTTTCTTTTCCTATCTCGATATTCAATCGTTTACTAGTCGTATGTGTTATACCTCATTAATATGTCACAAATTTACCAACTTTTCATTTTCATTTCCATGACTTAAGAGCAAGCCACCATGATTTCTTCTTTGGATTGTTGAGTTCAGCTCTTTTTTTTTCCTAGTTTTGCCTCTCTCCAGCGTATTCTCCACCTGATACCCAGAGTTACTGTGTCATTCTCCAGCATAAAACTTTTTAATGTTTTTCTATTGTCATAATGACAGAGTTTAGGCTACTATATTTGGTGATGTTCCATCTCATCTCATTCTTAGGCTCATTTTCTCTACTCTTTCTTCCTGTATATATCTTTGCCCTATTTTGCCAGCTGTAATTCCCTCACTTTGCTATACTTTGTTTAAATAAGCCTTTGAACATGCTGCCTCCTTGGTCATAAAGTCTCCCTTCTAAAGTATTTTGCACTTAGCCACTATCCCTGTATCCTTATGTCTATGTTTAGAGAATTCTTCTACCAAGATTCTTTCTCTGACCTCGCTCAATCGAGTTAGTTGTTCTTTTTTTGTGCTGTCACAATGCTTGTACCAATAATGATTAATATAGTTGTGGCTAATAATATTTGAACTCTAATTTTTTGTCAGGATCTGTTTTAAGCAGCTTAAATGTTGTAACTCACCCAACCTTAACTTACTCAATGCTTAGGAAAAATTTATGAGGTTATTTCATCAGATAAGTAATAATGTTCCCATGTTTCCACAATTAGTAAATGACACAAGTAGCTTCTGTACTCAGGCATCTGATTTATGACTGGACAAACTTAACCATTATTATAATTGAAGCATTTATGACACTGTATGGCAGTAACTTGTTTATACCTAATTTCCTAAATCATTAGAAAAAAGTTGCATCTCTAGCACTTAGCACAATAATAATCACATATAATGCTTCCAGTACATATTATTTAAATAAATAAAAAGAACAAGATGAAACATGACTCAAAAAAGAAAAGTGTTCTCACTCCAAATCAGATTTATACTGACCTGGCTTTGACTCCATATCAATTGACTTACTGAGACTTAATCACCTGCATATGCTTTGCTATTTCTAAGAGTTTCCATATCCTGTTCTCTTTCCCTACTCTACCTTTCCTCCCATTGTCTAATTGGTAAACTCAGATTTATCCTTCCTAATCCAGCTCAGAATTCACTTTATTTCTGAGGATTCAAATTTTATTTCTAGATGCTTGTTCCTTTATATATTATACTTTAAATATCACAAATAACATTAAATTAGATCACAATATGGTTTACCAAGGATCTATTTTCAACTCTAATTTGTATGTCTATCACTAGAGTGTAGCATCTACTGTCTAGAAATTTCTTAATAAATATTTGAAATATTCATTGAATTAATTAGTCTGGGTTATGTCCTGTAAATCATGAAGTAGGTATCTTGAACTTTAATAAATTAGAGCAAATCTGCTTGGCTCCTACACTGGCAAAGACCTGATTATTTGAGTTGTTCAGTATTGGAATTTTGGGATAGTGTGGAAGGAGATGTTACAATAGCCATTTCACTTTTCTGATATGGTTGGGCAAAGGACATGCAACTTTTCAAAAGTAACTGAAGTTGTCCCACCAGTCAGTTAAAAGGCATTTTAAAAAGGTAAATCTGTTTCTATTTAGAGGTAAACAAACAAAAAAAATCTATGCAAGTTATTATATGGCAAGCCAGCCATCCGATTTTAAGAGGAAAAAATAACTATAAAGTAACCCAAAACATTACTTTTCATATGAACACTATACTGTTCCCTTTCTCTGTACTTTATTTGTGGGAATATAGCAAATTTTTAATATAAATGTCATATCTGAACTTCTCACTTTTCTATGTGATTCCTTTATCTTTTTCATCAAACACACACAAAACTGCTAGACTAAATTTCTTAGTCTATGTCTTTTATCAAATCACATATTTGCTCAAGATTTTTCAGTGACTATAAAGTCTATTGAATCAGATGGCAACTCTAGAGCTTTGATTTTTTAGGCAGGGTTTCTGCCTCAAATGATTTGATAGTGCTTGACCCAGGAATGATATATAATAAGTACTTTGCTTTTTGCACTGTGTTCATGAAAGTGAAATCAGGACACTTAGTTGAAAGAAAGTTCCAGATTGGGTCACTTATCATTATTAACACTGATAAATTATCATGAATAGATGTCCTTAGTTAAACAAAGATGCTGCATGTTAAACAAAGTAGAAGCCGCACAAGTCAAAGTCTCTTCCCAAGTTTCCCCTATCTTAAATGAAAATGGCACATTCGGATATGACAAGTAATATGCTTTAAAGAAAGACTGGATATTTTAAGTTATGGTAATTTATAGATATCATCAAGAGGACAAAAGTGACTTCATAGTTGAAAATGAAACTACTGTTTTTCAATGGGGAAATTCTTAAAGTCTCAAGATAAGAAGTCGGCCAGGAACATAACTGAACAAGTCCACAGGACACACAACAAAGATTATGCTTAGGATGCTGGGTCAAGCAAGTAGTGCAGTCAAGAACACAATGTTGGCTGGGGATTTAGGTCAGTGGTTCCGCCTCCTGCCTTGCAAGCACAAGGTCCTGAGTTCGATCTCTGGTACCAAAAAAAAAAACAAAAAAAAAAACCCACAATGTTCTCTGCTTGGAAACCCTTGTCTGGATTCCAGGCTTGACTGTCTTTCAGGCTTTTTTACTATATTTACTCTCATTTTTTTTTTCTTGCTCTGTCTCTCTAATTGTCTTCTGAGTTTGGATTTTATGTTCTTGCCATCTAACATGTAAAAGGATCAAAGATTTCAAAGTACTCCAGACTGCCAGTATTTCATTTAATTAAAAAAATCAAAATAAATAAACAATTATGCCCATTTTCCTCTTTGCAAGAAATCAAAATTCCAAATTAAGATGAATGCACAAGGTCTATGCAGTTTAAAATAAAAATCAACTTCTTCACACACACACACACACACACACACACACACCTCTTACAAACGATACCACTAAACTTTAGGAAACAACTTAAATATTGGTAATTAAAATTCTGAAGACCCTAATGTATTTTCAAAGCAACCTTTGCCACTTTGCTGTACAAATAAAATCTTGATAGATTCACTTTGATATACAAAATGCCATTTTTGGAACAAATTTAAACTTTTAATTCATTCAACAAATAATTATACTGAGTACCTACTATCTGTTAGACCCTGTGCTGCATTGCCAAATAAGCAAAATGGGATGATTTTATTTTAACTTCAAAATAATTCTGGTCTATAAAGCAGTGCTTCTCAATCTATTTTTATTAATCCATGACTCTTTTGCTAAATATAATATCCTCATCCCACTTTTCAGAAATGGTGATGACCTTGTCTAGCATTGAGAATCACTGATAGAGAACATAGGCTCTATCTTTTGTGTATCCTTCATAGACAAAGTGTCTTTGAGCTCTTATTATTTTATTTAAAAAGCAATGTGTACACCCCCTGCCAAAATAAAATTCAAATTTTCTGTACCCACTGCTATTGAGAATCACTGCTTTAAAGAATTTTGGAGAAAACCAGGCAACTTCCATCTCTCCCCTCCAATCAAGTCTTAAAGGAATTAGAATTTTCCTACCTGACACAACAGCTGGTGGAGTATCATAATCCTGTCTTGGGATTGAATCTTTGAATGAAAAGAGCATGAGAAAGAATGCAATGAAGTACAAAAGAAAATAAAACAGAATCTTAGCTTTAAAACTTGGAAAGGCCCATTGTGTGTCATATGGTCACCTAAACCCCTGCCTTTAAGCAGTCAAAGCCTTGTGACTCTACTTTAGAGCTGATACTCCAGGTTGGTTGATACCATGGTTCCCATTACCACCATGTTGTCCATGATGTCAGAACCAGCACGATCTGCTGGGACACTATAATTTGACACGGAACATGATAATTTTCCTGTTTGTTCTGTTTACTAGGGAATCAATGAGAAAAGTTTACCCTCCCTGACTGACACAAAAGTTTTACAGGTAGCCTATTTGGAGGGGGCTCAAAGCATGATATAAGGCAAAGTCCTGGAGAATAAAAGGAAGAATGAAAATTTAAAGGAGAAATATAAAAAACTTACACATTTTCACACTGTATGGAGGTGAATGCAATTTGAAGCCCCAATTGCATTGTTAGGCACCAAGTGCCAGGTGTGATGATGGGTAGCTATCTGAGAGGCAAAGCAGAGGGGGCTTTCTGCACACACAGATGCCTTCTGTGCTGATATTTTGGAGCAGAAATTCATAGACCATAGCCTATTGAACAGACGATGGCTGTTTTTTTCCAAAGTGTCCTAACACCAGAAGTGACATATTTTAGGAAAGCTTCATTGAATTACATGTCAATCATTGCAAAATTTTGGTTCATGTCGGACCAAATATATCTATCTGTTTTTGAAGACGAAAAAAGATTTGGCTTGATACAATTTCTTTAGCCAGGGATCTTACAAAAGAGAAAGTAGGACATAACCTGTGGCTTTAGCCCCCCTTCTAAAAGAGGAAAATTCTAATCTTGTTACAGTTCTCCTTGGGGGGAAAATTTTATTAAGGGACCCAGTATTGTTCAGATTCAAATAAGCTACTCCAAACATGGTTAAATAGATATTCTTGTGTGAACCCTTATTTTAATCATATGGCCTGAATTCCATTTTAAAAGCCAAAACCCCAAATTTATTTTTCCACCCATTTAAAAACTTTTGGACTACCACAAATTTCTCACTTTCATCTCCTTGCCACCAAAGGATAATACTAATCATGCTCCAGAGTAAATGGCATATGAGAAGGTAAATAAGAACTTAAACATTGCAAAGGACTTTGACAAAAGCAAACACTGATCAGAAGATTCAAATGCAACAAAACCATAGCTATGAGTTCTTATGTTTCTCAAAATAGGTCAGTGAACTTGTGGATTAATTATAATTCCAAATTTAGAAGAAATACAATCATTTTAAGACTATCAAAAATTTTTGTTAATAGTGATATTAATTCCTACCTTTTGAAAAAACTCCAATCATGTTACCAGTATAAAACAAACAAACTCCCAGAAAAATAGAAAACCATTAATTTTTGAACCGTGCCATTGACAATTTCCCAAAAATATAAAATTTAAAAGTAAATAATACAAGAAAATAATGTTGGTTGTTGAATAGTTGGAGAATAAAGACAACTATAATATTTAAAATAAAAATTACCTCTAATCTCTTCCTTCAAAATAATCACCCCTGCTTTGCATTTCTTTACACCATTATTTTATTTTATTTTCCACAATGGGCATTATACTCCACATACACAAATTTACTTTCATTTTTGATATAACATTTTAAATTTCTCATTTTCTAATTAGTTTAAACTCATAATTATATGCTGTTTTACATTTCAATTTATGGACAGTTTCTGATTTGTTCAGTTTTTCTTCTTATTATAATTATAAAGAACACTATCAAATATTTTTGAAGCATAAAGGCTTTTTAAAATTTTAGGATAGTTCAATAAACTAGCTGTTCAAAACTGTAGCTGTTCTTTCTGCCAGGATAAATGTGCTGAATTATTCTGACTGCCTACTTTGCTTTAACTGGTTCTGGGTACAAACTTAGGTTACTTCCATGATGTAATCACTGTTTGAAAATGCTTATTTTCCAACACCATCATCAGTAGTCTGCTCTATTCTGATGACTTTATTTTATGGGATATGTGTGCTTGTGTTAATTCTACACGTTGGATTAAGTTGTAGTTTCTGTCTTTTATTATAACTTTTCATGTATTCTTCAGCATCCTGTTCCTTTCTTTATCAACCACCTGTTCAATGTTCTTTGGCATTTTATGTATTAGGACTTTTTACTCTATTGCTAATTTATTTGATTGTACAGTCTATTTTTCAAACAGAAAAACTTTAAAATTTACTTAATAGATATTTACACAAAGCCTCCTCATTATTTCTATTGTTAGACTACTCTTCTAAGGTCTTTTATTTTAAAATAAGATTAAACAAATTTTTTAAAACTGTTACTTTTTAAACTATATTTTCTTTCCTCTATTTACCATTTATAATTAGCTGCTATTTTTCCTGAAAAAAATTTATGGAAAAGTACTACTTATCATTTATAATACTATGTATTGAATCATGAGTCTAAAATTTTGTTGCTTTCTATAATTCTCCATCTTAATTCTTACATCGGAAAGAAAGGAAAGGAAAAGAAATAAATGAGAAAAGAAGGAAAAAATGGAAACAAAGCTTTTGTAAATACGGAGGGAAGAGGGGCCTAAAGGAGGGGAGTGGAATGGGAAGAAAAGAAGAATCAAGATACATTATATACAGGAACAAATTCCCTATGCTGAATGTGATCATTATGTGTATTTAAATTGTACCAATAAACATATTGATTTAAAATATTAGACATTCATATCCAATAATGATAAAAAGACAATATCTAAGCAAAGTGAATAATTCAGATTTTCACCTGGTATCATCAGAATTTTAGAGCAGTAAAGGAGTGCTGTTATTGAAAAATTCTAGGGAACTGTTGTGAATAATGGAGTACAATTACAAGATTACTTTTGTGAATGGGTATGGTGCACCATGGGAATCCAATGATGTCACAAATCACCAGTGGCTTGGAGAACACAACACTAACTGCAGATAAAGAGGCTTCAGAACAAAATCTTTTTATTTCTTTCAAAAGATTTGGGTGACATTGCAAGTCACTGGTGAGGAGCAACTGAACAAATGAAAGGGAGATAAGAAACCTGTAAAACAAGATTGTCATGCAATTTGGGGCCTTTCATAACACAGTAAAGTCTCCAGTGGTTTCTGCTAACCCTTACACTAAAGTGATAAGAAATTATGGATACTGGGGTTGCTTCAAAGGAATCCTGTGGCAAAAATAAACAAAGGCAGACAAAACTAGAAAAATTTATCAAGGTCAGCAGAGCCATGAAATACAACAGTTATACTGCTTGCATAAAACTCATTTCTTTTAAGGCTGACAGATCTGTCCATCTTCAAAACAGGTAGAAAATCGAACAATAAACATTTGAAATGAAAAATTATACAGAGAGATTAATTAAACCCTTTTCAAACTATGGAGTTATATGGCATGAAATACATCTCCCTTTATGAAGATAAAAACGAGCCCTTGGCTCAGTATAACTGTTTAGCTCAGGATCTTAAAAAGGAAAATGGGACAAAGGCTATGACTTAGTCCACCTTCTGAATAAGAAAATAATTGAATCTATCTCCGCCTCCCATCAGCCTTGATCATTAACTACTCTTAATTATCCACTGCATCTCACTCTCACTCCATTCTGGCCTTGAAAACCATCACTTCCTGAGCTGAGTTTCCTATCTTAATCTTACTTGTCATTGATCAGACTTTGCTTTGCAGAATTTCAGTAAACTCAGTTGTCTGAAAGTCTCCAAAGACTTGTGGGCAGGAGAAAGTAGCAGCATTTCGTTTTAGCCTACCTGGCTGTGGTAACATGGTACAGAATTATTTGGAGAAAACCGGGAGACTGAGAACAACAAAGTGCAGTTAGGAGACTATTATAATGAATCACATGAGGCCCAGGGCAGACTCCCTGGAACTGTGAAAGAGGGGATGTGTCTGAAAAAACAGTGTCTGTAAACACAACTAGTGAGACTTAAATGTTCTATATTTTAGTGAGGGAGAAGAAAGGGGACTAGATAGAGTTGTAGGTGTGTGGTTTGGCTGCTAGCAAATGATTATGGCATTAGCTTGAAAGAAAACAGGGTCTAGGAAAACACAAGAGGAAAATAATTCAGTTAGAAGGAAGCTTAGGGAAGCTCATGAGGTTAGTTGTGGTCATGCTGACTTGGACAAACGAGGGAAATTTACATGGAGATAGCTAGCAAATAGTTGGAAAATGAGTCATTCTAAGATGAAGTTAGCATAGAGGACTCAGATACAGGCGTCTTCAGTGTGAAAGGCAAGGTTTAAAACCATGAAAGTGGATTAGATTGCTTAAGGAAATCATGTAGGCTGGTTAAAACTGAAAGCATGGCTTAGGGACTGTAAGAAAAGAAGAAAGAATGGTCAGAGAATTTGTAGGAGAACCAGGAAAACCTTGTGCCACAGTCAAGCACAGGAAGCTTAGGGGACAAATTGGGTCCAATATCCAATGATAGGAAAATGTCATATCAAAATCCAAATATTCAGCTTATCTTGAAAAACTGGAAATTATGATCACCCTGGGTCTGTACACTCATGCAGCAAGAGCTGCCTGGATTGCAGTAGTGGCTGCCTTCTCCCGACAAGTCACCTGTATTCCAGGCTACCCAGACCACCACCACTCTCTACTGTCTTCCAAACGCAGGCAGAGATTTTATGTTGAACTGCATTGGAAATACCTCTAAGATATAATTTTAATATCATGTGCATTTGTATGTCATGTTCACATTTATGATATAGGAAAACATAGAGCAAATTTGATTAACTATTTCAAAGGTATTTACTTGAATTTAATCAACTTCATTCATTAATTTGACTTAGCTGGAATGTGAAATTTTGACTTTGTAATCCTAGATGAGTATTACAGCAGCAAACAAAGTGGAAACTTTTAAAGAAATAAATTACGTCGCTTGATATGTAGCAAGTGAAAGAGTTGTTCTGTGGTTTTAATAAGGTGCTACCTGGACTAGATTCCCACCACGTACAAGCCACTGGAGCTATAGGGGTAAGGGCAGATGATTTGATAAGCGCCTGCGGGCATTAAACACTGTATCAGGTATGCTATGTATATCATTCCATTTAACACTCGCAACACCCCTGGGGTATAAATAATATTCTTCTCATTTTCTAAAAGAAGAAGTAAAAGTTCAAAGAAGTTAAATAACTTGCCTAAACATGCATACCAACAAAGGGGTAGAGCCAGGCTTTTAACTCATTTGATCCCAAAATTCCTGGACTATCCACAATGCCAGGTTGCGTTCCCCATCAATGGAAATATTGGAAAGATAGCAGTAGGTGGGAAAACACAACTTTAAATACCAACTTCAACGACAAAATAGCCACTCCAAATACCAATAAAAAATTCAGATAAAATTAATTTATCATGGCACATCCAGGTATTAGAGTGACAGTTTAAGGGGGTGGGGGACAGTATTCTGGACACTAAACACACTCAATTATATTTTGTTCAGTAAATAAACAGAGCAATAAGTTTCCTCTCTGCCCATCCAGAACCTCATTAAATTTTAAACTTTTCCATAAAATTATATTATATGAGAATTATAATGTATCAAAACATTATTTATTAGCAAAGTGAAAGGGAGAAAAAATGACAAAAAAAAAAAAGAAAAACTTAGAGGAAGTGTCAAAAATAAGCCATATGCTATATACCCTCTAAGCAAAGGAGTAGTATGTGTCATTATAAAATTATTATTGTTATTGGTTGTTACCAGCTGAGTAAAAGTTACAGTCTCACATAAATTTGTTCTCATTGAAAATGCTCAAATACACAATTATATATATATATGTATATATGTATAAAATTGAGTCGATAACTGTTACAATTCTGAGCATGTTCAGTGTCATTTAATTTATTTTTCAATTTCCTAAAGGATTAAGTCATATACTCAACCTAACTCTTGTATTTTTACTAGTTCACACACACTTTAGCAAGTAGTGACTTTGTTTTTGACTTAACCAGGTAAATTTTATGAATGTTTTCTTTCTCTGCTCTGCATTTTAACTTTCTCTGTTATCATATTCCAGTTTGTCAAGAGATTAACATTTCCTACTTCACTCATTCAAAATTTATAATTCTTGAAGGACAGGAAGACTGATAGAGGGCAATCTCTAGTTGAAACATAATAAAACTCAAGCCTACCTACCAATTGCTGTGTTTTTAATACACAGTGACTACAAATAATCCTTACACACTAAGAACAAAACTGTTATCTTCAAACCTTTTCTCTGATGAAAATTACCTATGCCACAGTTATAAATAAATGCAATCTTAAACATGACTTCCAAAACACAAGATTAAAAACCTAAGAAGTCATTTGATTCAAATCAAACATTTAGACACATGCGTTATCTTCAATTGCTTTCTATGGGATCAGCAACTGAGGCCCTAGACATAAATGTTTTGTTTTTGTTAATAAAACGTAGTTTCTTTATTGAAATACTGTGACTCTTTCCATTAAGAGTATGGATTTTCTTACCATGTAGGGCAGATTAGTGAGGCCTCAGGGGACATGTCAAAACTTCTTATATTCTATAAAGTCTGCAAGTTAATAACCTCTACTCACCAAGCTGGCCATTGATATGAGGTAAAATCCCCTGTTTATAGGTAGTGTGCATAGTGTACATAGATATTTGTAGATGTCGGGCAAGAAACATAGAATTATACATATAAAATGATGTGGTTGGGGGGGCATATATCAAATTCAATATTTGAACTTTATTGAGACCAGAAAGTATTACTTTTCCAAGGAAATATGAAACAATAGGGTTCAATCAAGATTTAAAACTAGGATTCTTGGATGGGGATTTAGCTTAGTGGTTCTACCGCCTGCCCCGCAAGTGCAAGGATCCAAGTGCAATCCCCGGTTCAAAAAAAAAAAAAAAAATTAAATAAAAAATTAAAAAAAATAAAACTAGGATTCTTGATTCCTAGTCCAGTGCCTTTCCTACAGTATCTAAGCTGCATCATTCATATATATATATATATATATATATATATATCATAAAAATGACGAGACTGTTTTAAAGTTTAGAAGAAATAAAACTACTACTGATGGTGTCACATGAGGCTTTCATTGTTCTCTGTAACAGTAATAAAGTTTTAGCAAAGTTGCATTAGACATATATCTTCTTAAATATGTTTTTAATTATTTTTGAAAGTATCTCTTTTAGAAAAACATAATATTTTTCCATGATTTCAAATGTCTTATTGGTATAAAATCAAGGTGACAATAGGCTTTTTTTAGTACACTTTTGTTTCTAAGGAGAAATAAATTATTCAAAACTTTTCCATCCTAATAAAAGAGATTAAGAACATTAGAGGCCCTTTCTTCTTTTCAGTAACATCCATGTCAACATATCAAAGAAAAACATCACAAGAACTCAATTATACCAAGTTCTCAATTGCCTTTTATGATTTTAAACATTGAAAGTAAATAAAAAGCCCTTGTATCAGTCAATCAGAGTTGGCCTCTTCTTGAGAAATAAGATGATACACTGGCTGAATTGGTAACCAGTTGGGAAAAGAAGCCAGGTTAAAGATATCTATCATCACTGAGTCTACATTTGCAGGTGTGTGCAAAAGGACACATTTCCGAAAACAAATATTATACCTTGTGCATTGTGTCATAATAACAAAAAATAATTGAGGTTTAAATGTGACACAGTAGAGCCCTCAGCCATGTCAATGTGAGCAAATGTTTCCTGGAGTCTGACATGCATAACAAAGTTCATTCATACTGGAACCTGAAAGATGTGGTAGGCTAGGGTACAGAACCAGTTCCACTGACGATCCCAGCTGAAAGGCAGTGTTGTGTCTTATTAAAATGCAACAAAACAAACTCTAACTCACCGTTCCTGTTGTGCCCAATGAAAGGTGATTCATCTGCTGTGTCAGGGGACCCATCATATTTGTTGGCTGCATTGACATGGGATGGTCCATTGTTGGTGTAATCACAGCACCCTACAAAAACATACAAAGTCTATCAGAGAACACATTCCACAGGAAGACGACTTTTTAGAAAATAAATGCAGCATACTGCATTTGTATGTTAACATCAGATATATTTTCTTTTTGCTGAAAAGGTTAAATTCAGGCGTACATGATTTCTTAATGCATCCATGCCATTTTGTCTTTGTCTAAATATGCACCCTTAGCAACTCCCTTTCTCTGATGTGATTTATATATGATATGTCTAAAGTATCCATCATTTATATTTTCAAAATTTGACCTAGAATGTATTCAAAGAAATCATATATATCTTCTATCCCGCTGTTCTAAATAAAAGCTTCTTTGACTGATAAAAGATGAAAATTAATGGAAATTCTCTAATTGTTCTTAAATTGAATCAAACTTTTACTTCAATCCACTTATACATGATTTACACAGGTAATTTTTGATCACCCCAATACAGTTTGCCACAGGGGAGATATTGTAAGTGCAGATGGCTTTTTTGACCTGATCTCTTTGAAGGACATACTGAAATATAACATTAATTATCTAAAAATAAAAGTTTCTGTGTTTTAGGTCTTTTTCTCTGAATCATTTGACCTATTTTCTACCTAGATTTTTGACAAAACCTAGAAGAATACTGAACTTTGGTAATACCGGTCAAATTTTTATGTCCATTCATAAATTAAAATTTTAAAAAAGGAAAAATGTCAAGTTTTTCATCAGATGTTAGGAAAGATATACTGCTAGAATACATGTTTTGATTTATTGTAACTGTTGGAAATACAGGAAAGAGGAGACATTTTTTAAAATTTCCATGTATATATTATGTGTCAATTGATGGAGCCAGACCATATCACCTTTGCACACCACTTTTTCTACTCTACTATTCTCCTTTAGGTAGCTAAATTAGAGAATGAGAAAATATTTTTTTAAAAAATTAAGAAAAGCTAGAATTCGATGGAATTTTGGGGATGATATGATTCAAACGTTTTCTGTTAGATATAATAATAAAAAGACATGCATAGTATCACAACCCACAAAATATTCAGTTGTAATAACATGATCATGTATTTGAATACATTATTTTTTTCTTAAACATTATTTTCTATTTTACTTTTTCTTCCATATAAGTAATTATTTCAAAGAAATAAAACAAGGACAGATGCACATAACTGGCAAGGTCTTACCACCAAAACTAATTACTCACAAGCAAATGCTTCCTAAAATAGTTTTGCTTAGAATGATCAATTCCATATGGTATTATCCAAATCCAGTTTCCTGACTACATCTGTTAAAAGATCAGGGTCCCCACTCAGCCTTCCCTATGGTCTCCTCCTGATTAATTTTGAGGGAAAATAGATATTGAACCAAGTATTTGGAAATACTTTGACATTCAGACTTTTGTTCTGAGATCAATCAGAAAATATACATATCATTTTATAGATCTGTAGTTTGTAAATGTACATAGTTGTGCATTTGTGTTTGAATTTCTTGATGATTTTGTAAATTGTATCACAGGTTACTTCTTAAGTGAGAGACATAAATAAAAATATAAATAAATAAAACTAGCTTTTGCTTAATTGTAATTCAGACAGACCATCTTTTCTTCCTGCTGCTTGAATTTTATTACCAACAGCAATTTTATTTTTTTTCTTTAAAAAAAAATACTTACTGGCCTTCATTTCAGGTATTTGTTGTGCCAGACCAGAAGTAAACACTTTAAGAAGAACTACGGTTCTTCTTAAATCACCTAGGGATAAATTATAGAATAACCTCAGAGTTAAGATGGATGTTCTGAAGCATTTTTTTTTTTAACCAAAAAGTGGCACTTCCCCAATATTCTAACCCTTAGCAGGAACAAAACTTCAATTCTACTCTTGACTTTGAGATTTAGACTATCATCTTAGAATATCTGCCCCTACACATTCCAAAATGGAGTTGAAACTGTCAGAATTCCAGAAATCCCTCAATTCTAATCAGCCTGGTGTAACCACAGAGGATCATTTATGTAAATCTGAAGTAAAGGCAAAATTATGTTTGTGAGGATATTTTCTACTCAATACCCTGGAGGTTGCACATTCCCCAAGGGTATGTGAGGTAGACTTTAGTCTTTGTTTGGGAGGAAGATGCAAATGAGGTAGGTGAGCATGTGACAGATCAGTCAAAATTCATGCATGATAAGGGTGGAAGGATTGAATGCTTCCTTTTGGAATTAATTTAGGAAGGCCTGTCTGGTCTCAGAGAATCTTTTTATGGAAAGCAGTGTATGGGGACTCATCTGATTGTAGATGCCAGTATGCTGCTTCTGAGTATAAACCAGAAGCCTGACAATCAAAAAGAAGCATGGGAAGGGATTTGTCATAATTTGGAATTCTAAATAGCAGCATCAGGCACAGAAAGGAAAATAATGTAGGGGAAACATTCCTTTCCTAAATGGAACAGTTATTGCAAATAAGTGAACAACAAGATATGGGTTCTTAGGGGAGCAAACATAAGAATACACATTGTTGTTCATATTCAGTAAAAATGTTCAATGAATAAAGAATTTACACAAATTATAAAGAACATAAATTCTTTAATCTCAAGGGAATAGGAGAAATGTACAATTATTGAGTTAGCTGGAAGTAAGTGACAGAAACTCCTTAGAGAATTTTCTTGATACTTTTCAGGGATAGGCAATTTAGAGAGCTTTAAGGGCTGGTTGGTGTTTGTTTGTCTCTTTCCTTATCAAAGACAACAGAATATCTTTTGTATTGTATAGAAGAAAAAAAAGCAAAGATAAGAAAAAAAGAAAAATCTTATGGTTGTTAAGGCAAAAGCAATGTCCTCAACCATAATTGCGCCTCATTAATACACTGTCAAATCTATTCCTACTGAATGCATTTAAGCCATAGACTGAAGAGTGTTTTGACAGATGTTGCCAACACATTAAGGGTAATTTCGTTTACTTAAAATGTATAGAATGTGCTGTCTGACAGATTTCACCTGGTAAACGACAAAGCAAGAGGAAACAGATTTTTCATTTTAGTGTCTCTGGATGTCTGGATTTGCTCAGTGTTTAAACTGCAAAGAAAAATATTGTAGCATGCTGTAGTTCCACTAAAAAGCACAATGACCAAACAGCTGATGGGAATGTCTGGTCTATTTTACCCACCGCATCTGCAAAATAAAGCTATTCCCACTCAATAGTCAAAGAGTGGATCAGGTCATCCAAATTCAGAAATAAACAATTTGAACAGTAACTTGGGTACAGTTTCCAAAGATCATCAAGTGTAGATTAGTATAACTGACCTAAGTCTGGAAAACATCTGTGTTGTTAACCTTTGCTAATATTTGAAAGAAATTTGAAATCTTTGAGTTTTCAAAATTTTGTAACTGAAATATATTACCATGAAATCAAGGAAAACTTGGGCAGCCTCTCTCCCATCAAGAACATGCATGGCTGGCTTAACACCTGTGTCAATGCCAGAACATGCACTACATTAAGTACTCTTGGTATTAACATTTTTATCATGGTCAATATCCTAGGCCAGTGCCACTCCAGCTATGATACATGAGTGAGCAGCAGAAATACATCTAGAATTAGAATTTCTGGGAGTCAGGATCTGAATCTGTGTTTAAACAAGGACTGTCGGTGATGCTGATGGACACTACATTTTGAGAAGTATCCTCTATCCATAAAATTAATCTACAGTGTTGTAGTTCCAATGTTATAGTTCTTAGAGGCAAACAATTACTAGTATTTCATTTATGCTGTTTTTCAATTATTTGCTTTTATCTAGGCTTATATAGGGCATGGGACTTTATGTAATAATTGTATTTTATCTTGTTAAATTCAAAGAGGTCAAGCTTGCATTTTTGTTGAGTTGAACTAGGAAGATTATCTGAATTATTCACACCTTATCATGACTTGACATGCTTCCCTTTGATCACTTTGGCCTGTGTTACAAGAGATTTGTGAATCCTTCCTATTTGTTATCTTAATAAGTCTTGTATTTGAAATTATATGAATGTCAGAACAAAAGGTAAGAACATTATTTGGATAATAGTAAGAAAATTATTTGCGTAAAATGAATGAAAAAAGAAAAAAATGTATCACCTTCTTTTCTCCTATTATCTAAATATTTCACATCAAAAAATGTGTGGTGGGCACAGAACACGCCAAATCAGCCCTTTGCAGACAGGCGGGTCTGTGCATGCCCTACTGAGGTCCTGAGTTGTGTAGAAGACACTGAATCACCCCGCTGCAGACAGGCAGCAACCTGGTTCCACACTACAAAGACGCAGAGGACACCAGACCACCAGAAGAAGGTACTGAGTCCCGCTGCTCTCGGCCCAGAGGTAGGGGCTTCTAAGCAATCATCCTACTGCTCCTGGTCCAGAGGAAGGGACTTCTCAGTCACCATCCTTCCTGCTGCTCCCAGCCCAGGGGAAAGGGCTTTTGGGCCACCTTCTGTCCCTCTGCTCCTGGCCCAGAGGAAGGGGCTTCCGGGCCACCATCCCTCCCACTGCTCCCAGACCACAGGAAAGGGCTTTTGGGTCATGATCCCTATCACTGCTCCCAGCCCCTGTCCCACCTCTCCCAGCTCAGAGGAGGTAATCCGTGCAGGCACTAACAGCCCCCCACCCCAGTCAAAATGAGAAAACATATAAATAAGTCTCAAAACCAGACTTCCAGATCACCTA